TTGTTTTTTGAACCACCCTAATATATATATATATATATATATATATATATATATATATATATATATATATATATATATATATATATATATATATATATATATATATATGATATATATATAGATATATATATACATATATATATATATATATATATATATATATATATATATATATATATATATATATATATATATATATATATAATAATATATATATATATATATATATACATATATAATATATATATATATATATATATATATATATATATATATATATATATATAGATATATATATACATATATATATATATATATATATATATATATATACATATATAATATATATATATATATATATATATATATAGATATATATATACATATATATATATATATATATATATATATATATATATATATATATATATATATATATATATATATATAATATTTATATATATATATATATATACATATATAATATAATATATATATATATATATATATATATATATATATATACATATATATATATATATATATACAGGGCTTAATTTAACAGTGGGACATCGGACATTGTCTGGCTAAAACCTCAGATTGTCCGATCAATTTACAAAGTCATCGGAAATTTTGTCCGGCAAGATTATTAATTCTTTAAAATAAAATTTTATTGGTTGATTTGAAATTGACAAATTTAAACTTAATGTAAACTATTAGGCTAACTTATAAAATATGTTGATAATGGAGGCATTCATTCCCAAAACAAGCGCTGTTATTAATTGTAGTTTTAATGACTGTTCTTTAACAGTTTATTTGTTACATTATTAAATTTTAAATTATTGCTTATTTAAAACGATTGCAAAAGTCTAAGTATGTTTGATTGATTACTGCAAACGCCGTGGACACTGAAAAACAAAGAAATGCTAGCAGTTTGAAAAATTTGATAATAAAAAATTTTACAAATATATATATATATATATATATATATATATATATATATATATATATATATATATATATATATATATGTATATATACAAAAGATTAAAAAGTTCTAGCTTTATAAAACTTGTCTGCCAAAGAAGGAGTGCCTTTTTGAAAAGTAGATAAATAATAACCTGTAGAACTCATAAAATTTTCTTTGTTGAATTGATCGAATTTTAAGGACATGCAGCGCGTGGAATTTTTAAATTAAATAATAGCCCATAAATATTATATTGCGCTTGATTTAGCCGCCTTTAAACAAGTAAAAGCGAAGTTTAAATTTTTTATATCAAGTTTAAAAATAATATGTTTATTTTAATATTTAATATATTAAAGACATTATTATACTATATTACTATAACAAACTTGTTTTCTTGCCGTTTTTATTATTGATAAAAATAGTTACATGAACGCCATATAAACAGGCTTGGTCGAGAAGCGGGTGCGATTGCACTCGATAACTGACCACGGAAATAATATTTAGTTGCCAAAAATATTTTGCCAGATTTTTTAGTCCTTTTGAGAACATTTAAGTTTATGTATGTTTCCTTGTTTGTCCGCAAAATAAGTTCAATCTTGTTTTACGGAATTACATGGAAACATACATAAACTTGAATGTTCTCAACCATCTTAGTGCGGAAAAATAAAAAAAGAATATTCACGAACACAAAAAACCCGCCAAATCTACGAACAACTAATTCTATTGGTTCAAAAAATACTAACTGAAATTTTTAGAGTATTCAAAAAATGCTATCCCAATGTCCTGAGTACTCTGTTGAAATATTATTAAAAATTGTATTATTTGAATTTTGTTATGCTTTCGTGAGATTTCTAACATAAATTATTTTAAGAATATACTATCAAACGAACTATTATTTTAATTCTCGAAGCCATATCTACAAAGCTATAAATGTTTTAAACTAACATTATTTGTTTACAATAATAAATGTTTTAAATTTATATTTTTTAACTTGTCAACGTTTTGTAAACATATTATAGATTTTATTAACAACGTTTTGTAAATATATATAAGATTTTATAAAATAAGACATAAGTATATAAATAAAAATTATATATACTCTTTGATAAATCGAAGAAATTTGTTTCTTTATAGTTGTTACTTTATATAAAAAATGTCACTTAATTTTATAAAAAAAATTATAAAAGAGCGACGTTTCAAAAATAATTGCACTAATAAATTTATTTTGCATTAAAAGCTATTTTAAATAGTTTTTTCGCATTAAAAGCTATTATATATTATTTCCGTGGTCAATTATCGAGTGCAATAGCACCCGCTTCCCGACCAAGTCTGCATATAAATACCTTTTTGGCGCTAAAAGTGGATCTATATGATCAAAATTGACACATGTGTTATTGACACATGTATTATTATGTGCAAAATTGACACATGTGTAAAATTGACACATGTATTATTATGTGCAAAATTGACACAAGTAAAAAAATTTACATAACTTTTATAAACCGGTAATGAAATTTAATGTAAACTCACAAGGTTTTCGAGAGAAAAAAACTCAATAAAACTTCAAGTCTATCTAAAAGATGATAAAAATTCTGAATATTAAAAAAAAAAATTGCAACTTCACTAGCCTAAAATATAATAAACTGGGAAAACATAACATATATTTCGATTGGATAATTGGGTTCCGTAAAACTCAGATACGCCAGAAGCTAGTCTAAAAAAACCCATCCCCAGTACTTTTTTACTCTCGGCATTTAAAGAACTATCTTTTTCCTGTGTTCCTTTTAAAAAAACAAATGTGTATGTAAATATGTAAATATTGGTGAAAATTATTTGTTTAAATTTTATTTCAAAAATTTGATCGGACAATGTCCGACCAAAATAACTTTTGGTCGGACATTTTGTCTGGGACCTTATAAAAAATTAAATTAAGCCCTGTATATATATATATATATATATATATATATATATATATATATATATATATATATATATATATATATATATATATTTATATATTTATATATTTATTTTTATATATATATATATATATATATATATATTTATATATTTATATATTTATTTATATATATATATATATATATATATATATATATATATATATATATATATATATATATATATATATATATATATATATATATATATATATATATATATATATATATATATATATATATATATATATATATATATATATATATATATATATATATATATATAAGTGGGAAAAACATTAGAATCATCTACAAATGTTACATACTTTATAGTTTAAAGTTATGATTTAAAAGTACAGAGAAACTTGAGATTTCAACTATTTTATTAAAAGTTTTTTGTTTTTAGGCCATGTTTTAAATTTTAAAATACACTTATAGTAATTTGGTGGCTATTTTGAAATAATTTATCCTTACTGGTAAATTTTTAATTGTGGGAAAGTATGTGCATACCAAGCAGCATAAAACATTTTGTCGATGGTAGATGATACAATTTTATACCTAATATATAATATATGTATATATATTTATACCTAATGTAATGCCTTAATATATAATCACTAATATACCAAAAACTTGTTAAAACTTAACACAAACTCTTGTTTGGAGCAAACAAAGATGAATCACATTATTTTATTGCACACATTTTATTTTATTGTTGTGTGCAAAAAATAATTTTTGCTCATTATTTCTCATATACAATCTAGATCTTAAAAATTACTATATCAAACTGTTTGCTACATTTGTGATCCAGAACATTTCATTTTTTTTTTTTTTTTTTTTTTTTATTTGCATTCACTCCCAACAAGGCTGCAAGCAACCACTATTAAGTTGGGAGTTACTAGGAAAAAAAAGAACAGAGTTATAGAGCAAGGAAACGGTTGACAGAAGACTTGAAAAGTTGAAGGTTGTATGAGTCAGGAAAACATGAAGATGGGAGAGAGTTCCAAAGGATTGAAGTGCGGGGAAAAAAACTAGATGAATAAAAGTTTTTAGAGCATGCAGGGACAGATACAGCAAACGAATGAGACTTAGCTGAATGACGAGTAAAACGAGAATGAATTTTTGTTGATGGAACTAGAGATGGCCTAATTAATAATAGAATCGATAAAAAATGCCAAATCTTTCAAGGCTTAGAAATTCAGATAAGAATTCATTCTAAAATATAAAAATAGTCAACATTCAGAGAGCTAAACAAATGATGATCTAGCATAACTAAACTTGCAAAATCTCATTAATTTTGCTTTAACTACTGTATAAAAAAATGTTTGTGCATCTATAGCCTAAGAAATGTGCCTAAAATTAAAAATTGACACACTAAAACATGTAAAAAAGTTAGAAAAAATAATTGTGTATTAATGAAGTGTTTGATTTAAACCATATAAAGAATTTAAATATTACTTTACAGGAAGCCATTGTTTTATGCTTTTTAAGTTTTAAATACTAATATTTTTCCAACCTAGTAAATTTATATATATATATATATATATATATATATATATATATATATATATATATATATATATATATATATATATATATATATATATATATATATATCCTTATAGTGTAGTCGAAAGAAAAGAAAAAAGTCTCTTTCAATATATATTTATTTATTTATTAATAACATAAATATGTTTTAGAAGTGTTAAATAACAAACAAGTTTTAGGAGTGTTAAATTAAATCAAAAATCAATAAGATATATAGTGATAAGATATAATACTAATAAATAATATATATATATATATATATATATATATATATATATATATATATATATATATATATATATATATATATATATAAGATATAATACTAATAAATAATAATACTATATATAAATATATAATACTATATATAATAATTTATAATAATTAAATAATAATTAATAATAAATAATAATTAAAAAATATATAAATAAATAATACTATATATAAATAATACTATATACAATAAGATATAATACTAATAAATAAACAAACTAATTATTCATAAAAGATTTAAAATAGCTTTTTACCTCCTACTTCCAGGTAAGTTTTGCTTAAAATTGTTTGACCTCCAGTAAAATCAACATTACACCCAATAGATCCCTCATCTGAAGCTGTCAATTTATTAATGGTCAAGATAGCACTCCCAGGAGTAGAAACACGACCAATATAGTTAGTTCCAACTAAATTTAAATCATAGAGTCAATAAACATTTAAATTCAACATTTGTATATTGCAAATGTTGTTTTTTAAATCCATCAAACGATGTTAAAATTATAATTTAATTAATCTAAGAATTGAAATTATTTATTTTGTGCGTATATATCTTATACTGCTGAGTTAATTGAACATGATGACATCATACTGAAATAGCCTGCTGTCGGGGCTTCAGTACATACATCGACTGACAAATAGCCTGACTCGCAGTGGAGTGCTGCTACATAGCCTAAAGGTTTGGGATGGGTCAGCAACCTTTTCATTGATTATTCTTCGTTTTTCTCTTCTTTTTCTCAAAAATCTATATTGATTTAAATGAGGGTCATTCCATGTAAAACTGGGACAGTCATTTCAGTCACCTCTTGGATTTTCTTTAAATTTTACCCAGTGGTACATTATAATGAAACATGAAAAAACGCAAAATTTGAGCTCCCAAATCCAAATGGTTCAAAAGTTATGACGTTTTGAAATTCAGCCTAAAATGTTCCTTTTTTTGCCAAGTCCGCCAATTTAAATTTTGTAGTTGTACTTTTTAATGAATAATTTAAAATCTAGTGGAAGAATGTGGCTAAAAATGAGTGCCTGACTATTTTTGAGGGTGCTGAATTCAAAAATGTAAAGCAAATAGTGAAATTTAAATTTTATGATGGTTATTTTTTGATTTTAAAATGGTCAGTCCAACTTTTTGTTCTGTTACCATGGGTTGCACTTTCATCAACTCCCGGAGTTGCCCAAGTCTTGTGGATTCAATTTTTTTTTCAAACAAAGTAGGTGATACTAGGCTATTGTTATAAAAAAGATGGTTTTGGTTTCTTCAAGAATTATTAAGATATGTCATTTTGAAATTTAGACAAAAAAAAATGATTTTTTTAGCCTCTATTCTCCATTATAGACTTTATAGCGATATTTTCTGTGTGAATAATTAAAGTTCTAGTGGAGAAATATGACTGAAAATTGGTACCTGGCCAATTTTAAAGGTATTGAATACAAAGATAAAGATAAATGAACCTTATTCCTAGTAATTGAGTATAATTTTTCAATTTTAAAATATCAACAGTTAATTTTTTTTTATTTCTTAACCATGGTTTACCTTTCCTTATTTCTGGAGTTGCCTTACTCTTATTGTGAAATAAGAGGTCTTAAAAAAAGTTTAAGTTTCTAAAAGAAAATTAAAAAATTATAATCCTTTGCATAACTTGCATATTTATAATCAATATTTTCAAAAGTATACATGGAAATATAATTTACTATACAACACATTGAAAATGTAATTTTTTTATATTTATTAATTATAATAATTTAACATAACATTATTACTTTATGTCTAATAATAGGGTATTGTTGTGTTAAAAAATAGGAAACTAAAATGCAAACCTTTTTGAAAAATAGTAAAAAATCTGCTTTATTGAAAAAAGCTCAAAAATAAAAAGGAAAAAGAATAAACCAAATATGACTAAAATTGAAGTTTATATAATTTAAATAATGAAAGTAAAATATTCATTAACTTTCATTGACAAGATAAAAGATGTTCAGAAGATGTTGACGGTGTTTTAACAAGAGAAATGAAATTCATTCTTGGCACCCAGCAATTATCATCCCGCTTTGGCCAGTAGTACAACCGACTTGGATAATTTGGATGCATAAACTTTACCATAAAATCGTCATTCTCTTTATCAACTTCAGAAACCATTCCAAGCCAGTAAAAATCATTGTATTTGCAAAATAGGTAATGTGACATCATAACATTCTCAATTTTATAAATTTTGTATTTTTCTTTATTGAGGAAGTCAAATGTTAGAGTAAAATCATCATCATCAGATACCCTTTTCATTTTTATAATTGAATGAGAAGAAGGTATAAATTGATGGAAACTTCTTGTCCCAGGAATAGTGGTTCTATTAATAGTCTATCAGCAAGTTTGATTCTTACTAGCTCCATTTCTTCAGCAGTGACGTACACAAACGTAATCCCACTGATTGACTTTTAGCAGTATTCAAACATTGCTTGAGAAGATAGTATTTGACCTGTTGTTGGACTCTGCAAGCTAGCAGTTGAAACAAGCCTTTTAACAGTGCCACCTATTACATCACATGGAGATTTGTCATGGCTTGTTGCAAAGAAATTGCAGATGCACTGAACAGAAAAATCTTGAGCATGGTGACATAAATTGTAAAAATGTTTGTAGTTTTTATACTGCCCTGCACACCCATCAGAAAAATAATGAATTTTTGTAATTGCGGGGCAAAGATGAGTTTTTATATGATTAATGGTTTTATGCATAACTTCATTGATAAATCCAACATCATGACTCAAATCATTTGAAATTACACAAAAAGAAGATATTTCCAATTTCACTTTCTTGCAGTAGATGACAACTGCTGAAAAGAACATTGACTCTTGCTCCAATGGTAACTCTGGATCTCATCTTGTACTACAAAAGTGTAATTCTCTGCAAAATCTGCCAGTATAATAGCCTCATCAATACTAATTGTTTCTTTGAGATGCTTTAGGTAGCTAGATTGTGATTTTGCTATAAATGAATGAGAAGTAATTTTATCAAGTTTTTCACACAGGAGCTCTATGAATTCATTTTATGGAAGTTGTATTGTTAATAGTTCAGTTCTATCTGTCGTTGTCCACTGTTTGAAATCCACTGACTGTTCATTTCCGTCACTGTCATATTGCTCTTTTGGATCATCATTTTGTGTGAAATACTGCTGGAAACAAATTTGGGCAGCTTGTATGCCAGGACAACTATTGCATCGCTGAATCATGCAAACTTTTGATTTTCTGCTGCAGACAATCTTTTCAATGATTTAATGGTAAGATGTTTCAAGGCCTACAGCACTCAACATTAATTTAACATTTTGGTGTACTGTACACACACAAACAGAATGTGTACCTTTTGGACCAGCAAGGATGCACCATTTAGGTCTAAGACTGCAAAATTTAGAAAATCATTTTAAATTAGGTTTTTTTAGAATAACATTTTAAATTAGGTTTTTTTTTTCTACTTTGGATTCAGCATCTTCAATAATGGTCATGTACCAATTTTCAGTCAGTTTCTTCAACTAAAACTTAAATTATTTACACCTAAACTATAGCTAAAAAATCTATGAAAGAGAATTTGAGTCCAAATAAGGAATTTTTTTTGTATAAATTTCAAAATGATATATCTCTATAATGCTTTAACAAACCAAAACCATCTTTTTTATAAAGATAGCCAAGGATCACCTACCTTATTTGAAAAAAAAACTGAATCCATGAGATTTGGGCAACTCCGGGAGTTGATGAAAGTGCAACCCATGGTAACAGAACAAAAAGTTGGACTGACCATTTTAAAATCAAAAAATAACCATCATAATTTAAATTTCACTATTTGCTTTTTATTTTTGAATTCAGGAACCTCAAAAATGGTCAGGTAACCATTTTTAGCCTCATTCTTCAACTAGATCTTAAATTATACATTAAAAAGCACAACTACAAAATCCATAATGGCGGACTTGGCAAAAAAAGGAACATTTTAGGCTGAATTTCAAAAGGTCATAACTTTTGAACCGTTTGATTTTGGGAGCACAAATTTTACAATTTTTCATGTTACATTGATAGGTACCACTGGGTAAAATTTGAAAGAAATCTGAGAGGGCGACTGAAAAATTTAGATTTTTTGTCCCAGTTTTACATGGAATTACCCATGAGCAAAAAAAGTGAACAATTGCACATATAAATATGCTATATATATATATATATATATATATAATATATATATATATATATATATATATATATATATATATAACAAATAAATTTAAAGAGTGTTAATATATGTTATATATATATATATATATATATATATATATATATATAACAAATAAATTTAAAGAGTGCTTTTTTTGAGGGCACCCTAATATATATATAGAGGTTGCCAGACGCCAGGCAATCTTATCTTCCTTTTTTATACTCTGTCTGGCAGGTGAAATTAAAAACATTTAAAATATCCAGGTTTTTTATTATTTTAGGTGTTCAATTTTTTATATGCCTTTTTAAACTTAGCTATTTGTATAACTGTATAATTTTTAAAGTTTTTTTGATGTTCTATTCTTTAATGAAAACATCAAGTTCTACTTAATAACTCTGCGCATTTCGCTTTTCCAAATGGCAATGGGAAAAGCAATATGCATAGATTTTGTATTGCATTTGCATTTCACTTTTCCATTTAAAACTAACTATTTTCAAAAACCGTATAATTTTTTGAACTCTTATGTTGTTCTAAAAAAACAACAAAAGAGCTCGAAAAATTATACAGTTTTGAGAAAAAAATTATACTTTAATTATGCAAAAAATTATACTTTTTTAAGTTGCTTTAAAAGAATTTAAAAACTTTAAAAAAAATTTTCTACGTCAGTTTTCACTTATGTTCTTATAGCAACAACATCACTTCAAGATATCACAACATCAAGAGTTTTTGGAGCACTTAGGAACAGTAACGTAAAAAGGATGAGACTTAATTAAATGACGAGTAACACAAGAATGAATTTTAGTAGATGGCATAAGAGACACTAGCTCTTTAGAGCAGTGCCCATTATAGTATTTATAGAAAAGAGAAAGAGAAGCAACATTACGACAATGTGACAAACGTTGAAGGTTGGCTGCGAGAGCAGGTCCAACTATGTTTACAATGCATTTTTGCACCTTGTCTAAAAGAGAAAGGGCATCATGAGAAGATTTGTCCCAGATATGGCAAGAGTATTCCGTACAAGGCCGGATTTGAGATTTATAGAGATAGAGAATAGAATCCATAGTAAGAAAAAGTCGAGCTCGATAAAGAGATAGCTCGATAAAGAGAACTTTAGCAGATGCTAATTTTGCAACGGATTTGATATAAAGTTTTTCAAAAAAGATCAGAAGTAAGAGTCAATCCTAGAAGATGAAGGGTAGATGACTCATCGAGTACATTACTGTTCCT